ATAAATAAATGAATAATTCTAGCACACATCTTATTCTCTAGTGCAATTTTAACTCTGAGAAATCAGTCACAATGTTTTGATATTTTCTTTTATCAGGTGAGCTGCTGAGAGTCACCAGATTGTGGTGGAATATTCATACAATCAGTCAGTGTCAAGGAGAGAGTAGAGTCTCTATACCATTTGTTTAGTCATTTAAGACAACTTTTGATTCACATTTGATTCACTGAGACTCTTATAACCTGAAAAAAACCTATTTTAGCCTAGCTAACAGAAAGGTGTTAACTTGAGGTTCCAGAAACCAAATTTAGAAACCTCTGAATGCAGAGATTTGCTGTGCTGTTAATCTATGCCCCTCTTTCAATTACGTTCGATGTATATTTCATGCCAGAAACACCATATTCTACAGAATGCTTTAAGCTGTGTGAAACTGATAAGAACTACACATTCTGCTAAAATACCCAGCCAAAGATTGGAAAGTAGAATTGTAATGCATTTAAATACCATTATAATCTGATGCTAAATATGTGGATGTCTCCACCAGGTCTATGAATGCTTTGAAAATGATCTGGAAGGGCTTCAAATGGTCCACATTAATGCAGTACTTCTGCGCCACTCATTAAAACAGACTTTGTGAGTTTGAAAAACATTCATGGAGAAAATTTATCTATGAGGTTGTTAAGAGTCGAAAATGACTTGATGGCACCTAATCAATCTGAAAAAAGTGGTGGCTGCTTTGAGCAGCTGGCACCTTAAAATTAAAGTGATTCTTAAAGCAGCCACCACTTTTGTTCTAGATTTATATAGGAGCCTGGGAAAAAGATGAAGTTTATTGAAAAAGTAGGGCCAATGCTTGTGCTCTAACAAGGTCCAAGTCAAAAATTCCAAGTTATTTTTTAGGTATGTACACCAACAAATAATATGCGAAAGCGGGAGGATGAAAAGGTTGTAAAATGTTGAAAATCTGCAGTGGAGGATTTCTGTGACATGCAAGAATTCGTAAGTCCAAAACCAAAGGTACAGAAGCAATAAAAGAGAAAGGAGCTATATTAAAACACAATTGATTTTCCAATATATGAAATAGCATTTTAAATTTTTTTTGCCAAATGTTTTGGGCTTTGCTAAATGTTCAGATTACAGGTAGTCCTTGTTTAACATTTACGACAGTATTGAAAACAATACTTATGACCAGTCCCTGAACTTATGACCACCACAGTATCCCTATGTCATGTGATCAAGATTCAAATGTCTTCTTTTCCCTTTTAATTTTTTTCTTTTTGTTTGTCTTATTTGTTTTTTGAAATGTAATAAAGTTACATTTAAGAGATTCAGGTGCTTCACAGCCAGGAGGCATTTATGTGCCCCACAGTGTGTTACAGTGCCCCATGGTCATATAATGACCATAAAGAGCTGTGGTGGCAGTGGTTAGAATGCAGTATGGCAGGTTAATTCTGCTGACTGCCAGCAGTTCGATTCCGACTGGCTCAACGTTGACTCAGCCTTCCATCCTTCCAAAGTTGGTAAAATGAGGACCCAGATTGTTGCGGAGATTTGCTGATTCCGTAAACCGCTTAGAGAGGGCTGTAAACCACTGTGAAGCAGTATATATGTGTAAGCGTTTTTGCTATAATCACAATTTGCATGCTTCACAGCCAGCATCCAACAAGCAGGTTAAGCTGGCAGTAAAATCGCAAGGCACAGCCATACGATGTCTTGTTTAACGATCAGGGGTGACTTGCTTAATGACCACTGTGGGATTGAGGTCATGGTCTTGTGATGCCCCATTTAACATATATCTAAATTAGCGACTGAGTAGCCACTTAAACATAGACTCCCTGTACTCAAAGTGATGACACTTGTTAGGAATGTAAGCAGGGCTTACGGAGTTTGTGATGGCATGTAGTAGATTGGATTCCTACGAGGAAGATGGTACATTCCAGAGACAGCTCAGTCCAGATAAGCTGTGTGGGAGAGAAAAGAAGGCGAAGGCAGCTTCTCCCCAATAGTTCTGAGCATATGGTAGATAGAGATAGCAGAATGCTTCACTTTGGAAAGATTCTGTCTATAGGGTTTGGAACAAAAAGGAACTCATTTGAAAGAAACACCGCACATCTTCTTGGTTTGGGACTTCCCTTGCCACACCATCAAAATACATCTTTGGAAGGGAGAAAGCCATGTCCCAGGTCATGTACAGAAGAGACAGAAAATCTGATTGTTTTAAAACTTCAGGAAGACAGACAGGCTGGAAAATGGATAATTATTCCCCATAGGCTCCGATTAAAGTTTGGAACCTACAAGAAATGGTTAAAAATCCAGAAAGGAAACGGGGGAAAATTTTGCTTCAGAAACTTTGTATGGAGATAAATGTATAGCCAGGAACTGTGTCAAAATTGTTGCTGTTGCTGCTGTTTGTTAAGCCCAGCGTCTTTAGGAGATTGGATGTGAATTCAGCTTTTTTTCACTTTTCATGCTAAGCATGAGGATATAATATAGTCCTTAATATATTCTAATAATTTATAATATGAAGTGGAATCTTGGCAAGCCTCTTCTCTGAGATCAAGAAGAGTGCTCACTTGCAGCAGACTAGTGCTATTGTGTGGTTTGCGCAAGCCCATCTTTTATTTTGGAATTGTTCTTTTTAATTCATTTGAAAACAACTATTTTACCATGAATTGGAAAGCTTTGTAATTTATCTTCAGCACAGACCCAATACAATCTGAGGAAAGAAACTTCTTTTGGACACTTTTTATCTTGAATTATGCATTGATTCTTTCTTGTTGATTCTTGAGAAGTCAAATATAAAATATTCCATTATAATTAAGTATAATTGCTCCTGGGGAGGAAAGCTATGGCAAATCTAGACAGCATACTAAAAAGCAGAGACATCACCCTGCCAACAAAAGTGTGTATAGTCAAGGCTATGGTTTTTCCAGTTGCAATGTATGGCTGTGAAAGTTGGACATTAAGAGAGAATTGAGGCCTTTGAACTATGGTGCTGGAGAAGACTCCTGCGAGTCTCTTGGACTGTAAGGCGATCAAACCGGTCAGTCCTAGAGGAGATCAACCCTGACTGCTCTTTAGAAGGCCAGATCCTGAAGATGAAACTATTATTTTGGCCACCTAATGAGAAGGAAGGACTCACTGGAGAAGAACCTAATGCTGGGAAAGATTGAGGGCAAAAGAAGGTGATGACAGAGAATGAGATGGCTGGATGGAGTCACTGAAGCAGAAGGCATCAGCTTAAATGGACTCCAGAGGATGGAGGAACAGCCTGGAGGAACGTTGTCCATGGGGTCGTGATGGGCTGGACATGACTTTGCAACTGACAACATAATTAAGTATAATATAATAGCAATTACAAACCTTGCATGGGGGTTGGAGACTGGTCATACAAGATACCTGCTCCACAGTGGGATTTCTTGCGTAACAAAGCTTTTGATATTTATTTGTTTGCCGCCCTTCTCCGGAGGCTCAGGGCGGCTTACAATGCTTTTAAGCAATAGCTTTCATACTTTTGTATATACCTGCTTGATCCTTCTCAAATTTAGATCAATAAGCTATTAAGAGATAATTCTGTTTATTAGACCTCATCATATGACAGCCTGGGCATTTTAATTGTTGCTTCTTCATGTCTTATGTCTGAGGGTCATGTTGGTTGGGATGATGGTATCATCTTTAAATGGCCTCCGAATGCTACATAAACAGCTGCGCTGCAGAAAATAGCTTACTGAGACAGTAGCAAGGAAGGGTGCTTAACAGAACCAAGTCACCGCCCTAAGACATTTTTATGACAAGCGGCCACTTGCAATGAGTATGAACACTCTCCTTCTTATATAAGAGTATGAGAGAGAATAAACCCACGACTTTCTGACACTTCTTTTAAGATATAGGTGTCAACCCTGAAGCGAACAGGTCTTTACGGCTTCAGGGTTGCCACGGGGGGGGTGGGGGGGAATAGTCAGCTGAGGTTTTGTAGTCAAAACAAAAAGTTTTCCTATGGGAACCAAGGACATTTCAACAAGTGCGGGGAAGAGGAGGAGTACAGTAACCAACCAACTCGCCAGCACTTCTATTGGGCAAAGTGACTGATGACTGGGGAGAGGGGGAACTTTCACTTTTTAATTAGGTGAAAACCGTGGGAACTTTCAGAGTTGGTTTTCACCAGTTGTGCCAATATGATGTATCCAATAAATTGTTCTTCGAGGAATCTACCTGCCTCAGAGTTCTGTTTTCAATGGGTGCATTGCTTGGAATGCATTCAATGGGTGCATTACTTGGAATGTTGACGATAGGGACTTAGAAACTCTACTCTTGATAGGCAAAAACTACGTAATTGCAGTAAGATAGTTGCTAAAAGTATATCCAGACATTTCCCTCCAGTCACCTCCAGTCATTCAATCTTTTATATTTATTTGGTTGGCCAGAAACTCAGGCAATGGCTCTATGTCTTCCTTATCACCATATGGGGCCCAGAGTATTTTTTTTTTTTAAATTATAGGACAGTTGAGAGGTTCCTGCCTGATAGGTTTGAGACTGAAAAGGGAGCAACCATTTCATATACGTTCTCTATGTTGCTTATAGGATGGATGGATGGATGATGGATGTGTGTATGTGCATGCACACATATATAAATGGGGAGAGGGAGAGACACAGAGATGACAGAGCAAGCCTAGGAACTTATTTTTGTATGCATCTTTATAAAAGCTTCTCCAGACGTCTGTCAGTGAAATGAAAGGTTGGGCTTGGTGGCATAAAATAGATTAACACTTTAGTATAGTGTAAGTTTCTTTGCCAAGCTACTAGCCTTTTGTAACTATGCAGCTCCCCACCGCAGACATCTGTAGTGGTGTGAACAGAAGTTCACACATTTCCAAATATTCAGAGTTCAAAAAGCTTTAGGGATCTCAGCTGTAGCCTCGTGGAAGAAAAAATTCACCTAATGGATTTTTGTTATCGTAGACTAACTACATCTGCTATCCAAATAAATAGCTTTGAAAACAATGTGTGATTCTACATTCCTTTGACTAAGGAATGCTTTAATTGAACATATGTTACATTTCACATTCCAAAAGGAAAGCGGCTGAGTATCTTTACATTTTTTGCTGGCGCCAAAAAAAACATTGCAGCGTATGAAAACATGTGCACCTGGCTGGGAATTTAGCTTTCATGATATGCTAAACTGATTAAATGGTAAACAATTTGCCTGAACACCATTCAGAGGTCTTGTGGGATGCATGTTGTGTCACAGTAATTTACAGCTCCTTTATTAACAGAAAAAGGTACAAATGAAAAATTTAAAAATGTTACATGCTAATGAGCACAACAACAATTTAACTTGGTGCATCAAATGTCAAGGTGAATTTTTTTTATAAATAATTATTAATTATTTATTAATAATTAATAATAATTTATTAACAAGAGAAATGCATTCCACGTAGAAATAAATAGCTAGCAAATATTTGATAAATGTTTAGAAGTTAAGAGCTGAATGAACGAACAAACAAATGAAGGGATAAAGGAACCAACATTGTGTGTGTGTGTGTGTGTGTGTGTCTATATATTTCATCAACAAATGCATGTGTGTGTGTGTCTACATGAGTGGTGGGTTGCCCCCGGTTCAGACCGGTTCTATAGAACCGGTAGCAAAACTGGCGGGAGGCTCCGCCACTGACCCTGACATCATCAGAAGTGATCTGTGCATGCACAGAAGGCGCGTGCGCGAGCGATCCCGTTGCGAACCGGTAGTAAAGGTAAGTAGAACCCACCCCTGGTATATGTATGTATGTATGTATATATGTATGTATGCATGTATGTATATATATATGTATGTATGTATATACACATATATATACATACGTATACATACATATATTTATATATCATAATCTAACAATAGCACTACATAGATACATGTGAGCCTCCTGTTTCTAGTCTTCCAGTCATTTTAACTTTTTTTTCAGAGGCAAATAAAACTCTCTAACATGTTTGATTCCTGAGATCCCTAAACGCCAGTGAAAAGTGTTTTTTAAACTACGTAAAAGCTAATAACCAGTAATCAAAATGCTTTAGCTATGCCCTTGACAAATTTCTAAAAGAACTCAGAGTTTTGTAAATTAAAGAAAATTCACTGGCATTTGAAAAATCCCCCTTTTTCTAGTTTTCCATGCCTACCCTTTTTTTAACTTATGGTGTTCCTGAAAAATGTTCCATGCATAATGAATATATACTGCATAAGACCCTGGGTGAGTCAAAGAGAGTGGAAGAATGGCTGTTAAGAGTCTGGCAAGTCTTTACATCATGGGAAAGCCCTCCTTCTACAATGTAATGCTATAAGTGAAAAAGTATCTGATCAGAGATAGACTGAACCACAGCATATTGTTCAAACATGTTCAATATTAACATCAATTAAAATAAGGTGTCAATTTAAAGACTGGATTCTCAGTATTATGATGAAGCCAATCATTATGTTGGTGAATGTGTAGCTTTGTTTGTGTATTGTGCGTTTATTTTTCTGAACAAATTAATTCTGATTCAGAAATCAACCTCTGAAAACACATGTGAAAACAAGAACACCTACACCAGCCTATTCCAAGTTAATGAAGCTGTAGATATTAATGAAAATAACGTCAAACTGTAAGCAGCAGAAGGTGGGATGGGAAGACAAACATCTCATTTTAGGCAGTTCTGCACAGCTGTCACAACTTCTTGCAAAATGTCATCTCGATTCTCTCTCGTAATCTAAAATTTAGAAAAAAACAAAATACACTTAAATATGGATTAATATCAGTTTTCATTTATTTAAAGTAGCCAAAATGCAAGGCTTACAAAGTGGAAATGTTTATGAAGACTTTTTATATGTTCCTAATTAGCTAGTTGTTATTGTTTTTAATTATAAGAATTCCTTTATTACCATATTAGGAGGCAATAGTCCTTTGGATTCTGACTTTTTGCTTTCTACTGTTAAAGAACCCATGCAGATTAAGTAAATTGTGCATAGTACTGCAGATGTAAAAATATACAGATATGCAGGGGAATAGATTGCATATCACCAAATAGCAAAAGTGTACAAGATTTATACTCTGGATGTCATCCTTTTAGTATAAACGTAGGGCTCTGAAAAGAACTTGTCCCCCCAAAAAATCTTTCCAAAGGGTGAAACAATTTGTAGCCCAGGTATTTACACTGAAAGTAATAAGTGTCCATCTTCCAAGAATGCTGCAGCTAAATTAGCAGGAGTTAAATTAGACAAATGGGGAAGGAAATATCAGGATGGGGACCGGAATCAGCCTGTGGACTCATTCAGGGCATAGTTTTTGTAGGGTATGTAAAAAAGAGAAGGAATGAGGTGGAGAAAAAAGAAACGAGACTATAAATCTATAGTCCTTGAAGCTTGTATCAAAATAAATTGGCCTAAATGAATCAAGTACATCTTGGGCATTTTCCTGCATTGATTTTATGCCTGGTATCTCTGGTTTGATGAGATTCCATTTAAAAGAATGTGACATTTTATTTTAGGAGCTGGAAACAAAGAAACATGAGACTGACTTAAGTTGACCAAGAATGAAAATGGCTCACAACACGAAACACAGCACCAAGTAATAATATAATAATAAGAAATTATAAAATAGAACATGCCATCAAAACCCAAAAAACTTCAACTTCTAAGGTCTGGTGCTGGCTCCCAATAGCAATTCCCGCCCCCCATCCCTTTTGAAAATTTTGAAAAAAGAGGTTAAAAAGTATATTCTTTACTAGGACTATTTCCTAGTAAAAATGATTTGTAGTAAGCACCTTGAAAAGCAAAGTCCCAGCACCTTTCTGGGAGATCCTGAATAGAGGTATCACTATGAAAATAAAGTTAAATACTCAACTGAAGACTTGAGCCTGGGGAATAAAAGGTGTCCTTACTTTAAAGAACAGCAGGGAGGCACTATGATCCTGTTCAGCTCAAGCCATGTCTTTTGAACCATTTTCAAAGCACAGGCAGACCTATTCATTACACTTTTATCTTTTCCTCCAATAGAGAAGGTTTCAATAACCAGTACTCCAGTGGTGCAGACGGCAAACTGATTCTTCAGGGCACACATGGAGTTATATGCAAGCTTTGTCAATAATTCATTACCTACAGAATTTAGTTAAAAGTTCACAAGAATAAGCAACGTTACTAAATATTAAAGTCACTACCTTTACCTCAGATTCAGATAAATGTGGGGCAAGACAACTTGATTTCTGTCAAAGTCACTGGAATGGCCACTGAAGTTGTGTTTTGCATTTTCCAGATATTTGGAATCTAACCATGTGGTAACTGAATTTCCAGGGTTAGTAGTATTAATATTGCAAATAAGTATAACACAAGGACATATTTATAAATGAAACCCATTATTAACATTAGGTTGTAGCACTACTATTGGCAAGAATATTAGTGATAATGGAATGCTTTTTTTTTTTTTTTTTGCTAAAATGTCTCCATATAATGCATTTATTTTCCCTCCCCTGAGCTTGTCACAATACACATTAGGAAAGTCCCTTGACTACTGCTGTTTATCTGGGAAATTTCTGAAGTCACATTTTACAGTACCACATTTAGATGCATCTCAGAGAAAGCTGTGTTTAGACTTTTGAAAATGGATTGGTTATATAAGCTCAATGAAAGGATCTATTTGCAGCCATTTAAAATAAATATTTTGACTTCTTTACTTCTTTACTGTATATGTTCTATGTAAAGGGTAGATGAATGGAATATACTTTAAACTTCATATCTGAGGATGGGTGTAGCTGAAGCCCAGGCAGGAGAGCTATAAGAAATCTACCACAGAATCAACTTTATTTCCAGTAGAAGCGAGCACCTGTTTTTTCAAAGGGAATTGTTCCAAACAAATGTTAAATAAGATGTCAGACCATTGCTTGCCAATAAAAACAGACTTTCTCAGTGGATCTGTCTGTGACTTACATTGAAGACTTTCACTTCTTTTCTATTTCTGATCTCTTCCACAAGTCTCAAAGGCTTTCCTTTAGGCACTGGGATTGTTCCAAGTATCACAGTCCCGGATTCATTCAAAATTTGTTGGACAGCTTGAATAAATGTCTGGCTGAAGAGCTCCATTTTACCAATCTCATCAATTATGCATACCTTTTTCACTGAGCTGCTGTCAAAATCAGTCTATGAGAAAAATATGTATGGTATAAAAACACTTAGCGGCAAAATGCAAAATATTTTTACATGACTTAAATCACAATTTATATGAGGGATACATTATCTGATGCCTCCTGATCTTTGGGCTCCAGCTCAGAGGCAGCAGGGCAAAACAAAGTTTTCAGTGAGAGCTGCAGGACAAAACATCAGGTTATCTACTCTGACCTTTAGAGAAAAAAATAATTCAAGGTAACTGTTTCTTACAAAAACATTTTTATAACATTTTTGTGAGAACTCACAATTTCAGAGGCAAGCTATTCCATTAATTATTCTGTCAGAAATTTTTTCTTATTTCTAGGTTGAATCTCCCTTTAACAAGCTATCCACCATTACTTCGTATCCTGCCCCTTGTGCTTTAGAGAATATGTTGTCCCACTCTTCTCTATGACAGTCCCTCAAGTCAGGGGTGGGCTTCAAAAATTTTAGCAAGGGGTTCTCTGCCCGGTTGCTGGGTGGACGTGGCCATGGTGGGGATGGCCTAGTCGGCCTCCTGGACCATGGTGGGGGTGGGTGGGTGGGGTGTTTTTGCCCTCCCCAGGCTCCAGAGGCTATCCTTGAGCCTCCAAGAGGGCGAAAACGGCCTCCCCAGGCTCCAGAGGCCCTCTGGAGGCCGGAAATGGGCCCGTTTCCGGCCTTCCCGAACTTCTGGTAGGCCTGTTTTTCGCCTTCCCTGAGCCTCCGTGCACGCCCTGCACTTACCTGCATCCAATATGGGCTGCGTGGGGACTCCTGGGAGGGGCAGGGTGGGCGGGGGGTTCTCCGAACTGCACAGAATCTTAGCTACAGGTTCTCCCAAACCACTGCGAACCCTCAGCAGCCCACCACTGCCTCAAGTACTGGAAGACAGTTATCATGTCCCCCTAATCGTTTTAGACAAAAGCTAATGGAAAATCAATTGGTTTTATGCCTTGCTGAATTTTTCCCCTCTCTATATGTAAAGCTAAAATTAATGAAGGAATACAGGAACCGTTACCACAACTGATAAAAGATAAAAGAGAATGTAAGCAACAACATAGGCCTGAAAAGGGAGGAAACATGAGAAAAAGGCACAAAATAATCTAAGCAGAGGAAATGTTACCAGACTTCCATAATTTTGTTATTTTTTCCTTACAACAATAGAGTTCCAGTAGTTCCTGTGGTGTCTCTTTCTTGAACTGACCTGCCTTGAAAGGCTGACACTTTAAGACAAATCTACCTCATTCTGAGTGACTTCATGAACATAACCTTGTGCTTTTCTTTGCAACAAGACAGAAGAAGTTTGTCACTGTGGCTTTTTGGGACTTTTTTCAACTTCTCCATTTAGGTCATTTCTGTAGAACTTAGAGTTTCCCACCAAAATATGAATAAAAACCAATGCTGTTTTGCTTTTCAAAAACAGCCAAAATTATCAAAGTGTTGCTACCAAGCTGGATTCAAATATTTAGATATTATTAAAAGATATTCATATATATTTGAGGTTCAAATAATTTAGAAGTAGTCTGATCTACATTTAAAGTACTTATCTATGACAAGACAGTAAACTATATAGCTGAAGTAATATTTGCATCAATATTTGTAAATCTACATTGGAAACATCAGCTGCTAAAGGCCAGCCAAGGGCCATATTGGCACTTATTTTCTGTAATGTATCTTACTTATGAGACCACCCTGTTATATCTCTTGCATTACCATGAGAGATTCAAAGAAATAAACATGTTCATTTACAAGTCTTTAAATTCATGATCACAAAGTTCTTCTGTCAGTGAATAAACATCCACAAATGTGTGAAATGAAAACCTCCAAGAATAAGCGTGATCACACTATTTTGAGACCCACCACTTTTTACATGCAAATTTAAAGCCCCATAAAATATAGCCTATGCATTTTCATGAAAATGTGTACATTATTCAAGAAAACATACAGTTCTACTATGTAACTTACGTTTCTCAACAAAGGAAGAGCCAACTGTTCAAATGAAGCTAGATCTACAACATATTGGCCAACACGATATTCATGCCTTGCTGCTGAATGACCAGAGCTACATAAAGAAAATACATACAGCCAAATGTTTATCTGACCATGTATAGAGAATCAAAACTATGAACAAATAAAAAACCTTATATGTTTCAAAACACAGTAATGATCTTCAGGGGAAAAATAGAAAATAAAACAATGTGGGATATATTTACATGTATGGTTTTAATTATGTTAGTATTAGAGCCTCCAATCTGGTTGCCATGCCTCTTCTCCTTCTAATGTTTCCTCACCTTTCTTAAGTGATCCAGATGGCTGCTAACATCCCAATCTATGTAATATAACATAAAGACAGAGCCACAAAATGCAGTTGGAAGGAGCAAATGGTATTCGGAGACATAATGGCCTTGAGGTGATAGACCAGAGTGAAGACTGCCTACTGTCCTTTCAAATGTTCTAAAAATATAACATAATTTTTAATTGAGACTATTTTGCTGATTTCTTCAGCCATTAGCATTGCACATTATTATGGGGTGGTGATAAGTATGTCCCTCCTACATATCACAAAAGTTTACACAGTATTCAGTTATGGGCTAATTTCTTACCCATAAATTAAGACCAACTTAAATATTAGCCTAATAGTCACATGATAATTTTACAATCTTATCTGCCATTTCAGAAATTTCTGCTCTTCATGTTTGTGAACCATAATGGCCTTACATAAGCATTCCACCGAGGATTTAAAAAAAAATAATAATGCCAGAAAATATATTTTAAAAGTTCATTACCCAATTCTAGATAAAATTCCTCTTCTTCCATTCAGAGTGACAACATCAAACCCTGTTCTCCGGCCACTTTCTCTCACTTCCTCTGTGTAAAATCCATCAATGGGGATACCAGATGCTTTCAAAATTTCAGCAGCTTTCCGAATCAATGTTGTTTTTCCAATTCCTATAGCAAAAAATCTTGTTAAGCCTCACTTTCAATAGTATGTATATAAAACAAAGCAATTTTAGGACTATTTGACTCCTTGTTTTTACCTGGCTAATTCAGTATGGTCATTCATACTGTAAATCTTTTGCTCTCCTAATACCAAAAAATATGCACCCCCTTCACATAACATAGTTAAATGTGTCGGGGGCAATATGTCATGTGAACAGGAAAACTGGGCCACCTGATTAATTCTAAGAGGATTGATTATAGTCCTTAAGATTTTTGAACTATTATCCAAACAGCTTAATCAATCTTTTCCCCATTTGAAGTACAAACACTACAAAAATTGGGTCTCTACAAACCAGAAGTGGGTTTCAGCAGGTTCTGACCAATTCTGGAGAACTGGTAGCGGAAATTTTGAGTAGTTCGGAGAACTGGTAAATACCACCTCTGACTAGTCCCACCCCCATCTATTCTTTGCTTCCCGAGTCCCAGCTGATCGGGAGGAAATGGGGATTTTGCAGTAACCTTCCCCTGGAGTGGGGTGGGCATAGAGATTTTACAGTATCCTTCTCCTGCCACGCCCAACAAGCCATGCCATGCCCACCAAGCCACACCCACAGAACCGGTAGTAAAAAATTTTGAAAGCCACCACTGCTACAAACATCCCTTCTCTGGAATTAGTTTGGTTTTTACTTCCCCACCCAGGTTTCTGTGTATCTGTGTGTGAAAAACAGCAGGGACATATGGAGATGTCGCTGCAATTTCTCTGAAAAAAAAAACAAGGAACTGGGAAAGGAAGTGAAAGCCACCAACTAGAAAAAGACAGTATCGTTCAGTTATTCTGATTTATGTGCTTTCAGTTCATAGAGGTGAGTCATTTATCAGAGAAAGGGATCAGATATATCATACAAAGGCTGTCATAAAGTAGAAGATCCAACTGGCTTTCTCCTCTCAAAATATTCTATAATTCTCAAGTCTCTCTGGAATGCCTCCACTAATTTTCCATAGCTGGTACTAATTAGGATTACCAGATCTGCTCTGCAAAACTCCAGATGATCAGTTGATTGCAGCGAAGAACTGGAGTTTTCTGTATCTTTTTGTTGACATCTTGCAGGTCAGATCTGAAACCTTAATACTTATTTCCTGATTGGTCCACAAAAATATCGCCATGGGTCTTATTCTTCGTTACCTCTAAATCCCTCTCCAAAATGCTCCTTTTTCAGGGAAATTTAAGAGCCTTCTAGTTCCTTTATCTTAATCCCTTACTCTATTCAGAAGACCAGACTTGAGTTGATTCTTTATCAGCCAGAGTGTACCAGACAATACCAGGCAGCAGGCTTAAAAAGAACTTCAGCCTCCAGATAGTAACTTGCCCATGTAGGAATGTGAAATGGGAGTGAACTCTCCCCACTTGTCAACTCAAGAAAAAAGCACTTTTCTTCTGCAACTGTATTGAGAACAGCAGTTGTGTTTGCTGCCAGCAAATGCCATTCTCACCCCTTGCTTTTCCCAAGGAAAAAATAGGCAGAATCGTTAGAGCAGAGTTCACATTTGAGGCCCTGCAAGTACAATGTGCCTTGGAGATGCCAAACCCCCTAATTTATAGGAGCCAAGCAAATACGTGTAATTGGATTAATTATATCCTTTCCCTGCTTATTCACAGATATGTCCTGCTTTATTCCTTTCCTGTTTTGAGTTTTATCCTATCTTTTTTCCAGGACCTCAAAGCAAGGATATAAAGGGACCCTCCCTTTATTTCATTGGTTCTTCCCCAGCACCTTGCAAAGTGGGTGGGTGGGGAGGAAGAATAGCTAGCCCATCTTCCCTAGTGAAGCTGGATTTGAATACAGGCCTCCTCAGCCCTAGTCCAACACTTTAACTCCTATGTCAAAATATACCTGTTTCAGATTACAAGGTACCCAAAGTAGAGACTTGCACATGAATAAACACACAAGATAGCGGCAGATCCTATATTACTGGAGGGGAGGGGGGCATTCCTCCTTTGCATTAATGAAGGGTATGTAGTTAATACTGGGAACTGGAGACCCATTATCACATTTGAGCCTCTCATCAAACAGTGAACTGAGTTACAGTATACTGAAAATAAATCCACTGCCATTTTGGCCAGGCATTCCCGTGGATCGATTTCTGAAGGCCAGCAACAGAAATACAACATCTTCCAGAGAATATTGCGGCCGCTGTCTCTGTCAAGACCTTCTCCAGAGGGAATCAAGAAGGGATTTCTTCTTAATTTCCACTTCCTACGAACACTACCCAATAAAAGCTTGTTTTTATTAATATAATCTCCACTCCATCCGAAGCCAAGCTGCCGTCATCCTGTATAATCCTATCAATATATAGAGAGAGAGAGAAAGAGAGAGAGACGACTGGTTCTATAGTTTACAGTTGGAAGACTTTCAGGAATCTATTCCAGGGACAAGCGACCTGCAAGTAACTAATCAGAAATGGCGCTGTGGGCCCGCCATGTAAATCTCATTCACTCCAAAAATAAACTCCATCGGGTTTCCGTCGGGGAGGGAGGGAGAGGGGCATAAATTGGGTGCAACACTGCAGTCTGATCTACAAAAGGAGCTCGGGATTGGTGCGGCTCGCAATCGCATCGGGAGCAAAAAACTGCCGTATGCAAAAGGAGAAACTGATCCTCCGATGCACATTAACTCGAAAGAAAACCACGCGCGCTCTCTCTCTCTCTCCACCCACCCACAGGCGGAAATAAGGCGTTGCAAAAGCGAAGCTGCAAAGTGTGTCTTGCCGGCTCTTCTCTGGGATCCCCGACTTGCTCTTGCACGGGTCATCGCTGGCCGCGTGCCGAAGCAATGCCCGGCGGCCCCGGAAAGGCCTCTCGTTCTCTCCCAGCTTCTCCCCCGCTATGGGCCGAGTGCTTGCCCGCTATTTCCAGCGTCCTCGGTGGTGGGGAGAGAAAGGAGTTACCTGGGGGTCCCGTGAGAAAAACGTGCGTGGCCATGTTAGCCAGACGGCCCGAGAGAGAGAAAGCGCGAGCCCTGCGCGGGGCGGGAGAGAATTTAGTAGCCCTGAGATTTTTTCTCCTCTCCTTTTTCTTTTCCTCCAGCCGCTTGGGGGCGGAGAAGAAAAGCCGTGGTGCAGCTGCCTCCACACACACACACTCTCCCAGCCTTTTCTGCTTTTTCCTTTTGCAATCTTTTCCCGTTTCGCGAGAGCAGTTTTTCAGATATTTGACAGTAACAGTTGGAAAGGACTTTGGAGGTCATCTAGTCCAACCCCCTGGAGGATGAAGCGCCCTTAATGCTACCTAAGGGAGTAAATTCTGTTGGGACTGACTTCAGCGCAAGGCCGTTTGAGTCGGGGTCGCTGCTCTTTAATGGTGTATTGGTAGTCCTCGACTGTTGTTTCATTTAGGGACCATTCATAGTTACAACGGCCCTGGAAAAAGTGATTTAGGACCATCTTTTACATTTATGACCATTTCAGCATCCTCAGGGTCAGGTAATCAAAATTCGGACACTTGGCAACTGGCATGTATTTATGACGGTTGCAGGATCTTGGGGCCAGGTTTTGCAACCTTCTGACAAGCAGAGTCACTTCACAACCATGTTACTGACTAAATACCTGCAGTGATTCACTTAACAACTGTGGCAAAAAAGGAGTAAAATAGAGCAAAATTCACTTAACAAATGTCTCACTTAGGAACATAAATGTTGGGCTCAATTGTGGTCGTAAGTTGAGGACTACCTGTAATTGCAATGTGTGGATCCGATGAGAAGTGAAGCCTCCCACCAGTTTCTCCTTGAGGGAAAATCCCCCAGTGCGGCCACTGGGTGGGTGTTTCCCCCATCCTTTTGATAATCAGGAACTTCCCTTGATGTCAGCCATGTGTCTACCCAGCTGAAGTATAATGTAGTCCACCATTTTTGATGATCTCTTTTGGTAGGGCCCTTTTAGGTGATTTTTTTTACCCAGGGCATTTGAAATTATTTTGCTCCCTTTTTTGACACAATGTTTCTGATTGTGGTGTGTTGGACCAAGTGCATTTTGTCTGAATTGAAGAGCAGTTCTGGGCATTGGAAATAAAACAGCAGGGGTGTCCAAGTGGAGATCAGTGGAAAAATATGGAACTGAATAAAAAAAAACAAGGGAAAGAAAAATACTGTCTTGATGGGCAGTTAGTGTAATAAGGTACCAAACAATTCTCTTTGAAAAGAGAAAGATGAAATAAGCCTTCCTGGATGCATTCAAATAATTTTCCTGGCAACAATTATAGAAATGAATTGTTATTGCTTTTTTTTTTGCTACAGGAGTCCTTGTTTTGTGACCACAGTGGAGACCAGTGATTTGGTCTTTAAGTGAAGTGGTTGCTAAATGGAACCACAAGTGCCATTACAATATTAACTTTAGCTTTCATTTGCTTTGCAGACCTGCAAAGGTTGTAAATGCAAGGATTGTTTACTTTTTCATCACTATCGTAGCTCCTTGTTTAGCAACTGTCTCATTTAGCAACCATGCAAACCATTGTAGCTGTGAATGATTGCTAAATGAGACAGTTGCTAAACAAGGACTACCTATAATTTTCCCCATTTCTCAATGTAACCAATATCTCTGGCATTCTCTGGTAGTCTGCCATTCAAATAAAAATCTACCTTGACTGGCTTTCTTTGCAAATCCAAGCAAAGTCAGACAGGCGCTATCATCTAAAGCAGCAGTCCTCTAATATTTTGGTTCCAAACCCCCAATACATTCTTTAAAAAGATTGAAGACCCCAAAGAGCTTTGGCTTATTGGAATTATATCTACCAATGTTTACTGTATTAGAAATTAAAACAGAGAGATTTTAAAGTATTTATTTGATTTAAAGGACTCCTTGAAAGTATCTTGGAATCCTCAGACCACACTTTAAGAACTGCTGATCTACAGAAAGAAGAAGGTTGATTCAAATAGTCAAAACAAGTATTCCTTACAACACTCCTCCCCATTTTATTCAGGAGACTTACCTGAACCCATGATAAGTAGATAATGAATATTGATACTTTTAGATGTATTAACAATGAAGTGCAGAAATAAATATTGATGTGACCATTCGTGTTTTAATTGATTAAAAAGGATTTGAAGTTAACCAGCAGCAGAAACTATAGACAGCAGGGCTCTGCAGACCTTCAGACTTGAAAAGAAAGTGATGATTTAGAGCATGTGAGGATGAGAAATAGCCCCTGTCTGCAACTTCTTAAAGAAGTTGCATCCCTTTCTGGAATTGTATGGCTGTACATAATCCTGAGGGGGGGAAAACATATTTGTTTTGAGAAGTTGCAGGCAGCTGCTGCTGCAAATTCTGAACACCATTTTGTCTCTGAACCCAAAGCACTGTACAGGTCTAGCAGTCATGAAGCACTATCTTAAAAGTAGTGAAAAAGGCAGTCATTTTCTTCTTGAGAAAATGCCTCTGCCAAAATTATGTTTGCTCGGCATCTATATGTATCATCTAAATACATCTTTTTTTTCAAATTGCTTTAGTTTTATGCCAGTTCAAATGATAGAAAATTAAAACTCATGATCAATTGAATATGTTTAATTATAATACATGTCAAGCCTAAACTCAGAGGTGACAGTGAAATCCAATTGAGTTTAATCCCTTATTTACGTATGCCTAGTAGACAGAATCTTGCCACACTAAAACTATAACACTCAGCCCTACTAGATATATCCTGAGATATTCTAGGCATGTCTACTTTGAACCTCTTCCTCACTCCAATTCCTGACTGTTGTTAATCTGGGCCTCTTTGGGAAAATTTTGTGTTGCCAAAACTCTTTCCCACTGTTCCTGCTGATGCACATTCCATCATAACACAATTATTCTGAATGCAGGTAGTCCTTGCTTAACAACCATTTGTTTAGCCACCATTCAAAATTACAACTGCTGAATGAAGGGGCTTATAATTGGTTCTTAAAGTTCTGCTTGTCACAGGAGCCCCATGGTCATTTGAACAAAATTCGTTCCTTCCTACATTTATGACTCCCCCCCTCCCACTGCCCTCCATCAGCCCAACTCAGCTTTGTCATTTTCACTTACCACCCCTCCACTGGGGTTACCATCCCAGCTACAGCAAGGAGTGTATGGAAATATCCCACAGGCCAATGAATGAGAGCTAGAGGGGCAGGGCCTTCTTTTGTGCTCAGGCCATGTCCTTTTGCACAGCAGCCTGGTTTTCGTTTTATGAAAGAAGGGCCCAACTGCACTAACATGAAAGAAGAATCCGTCCGGTAGTGGTATGTGGTAGAGGAGGTATGGCAGGTATGGTGGTGGATAGGCGAGCTGCCAAACGGGCAGTGATGGAGGGAATGTAAGTGGAAGGGAGGATTCAAGTGGAGACAGTCCCTTTTTCCAAGAATGGCTTGGATCTGGTTGTTTTTAAAATAACTGGGTCCTTTACATATAGATTATAGATTAATTACTGGGTGAAGAAATACTGGGCTCCCTACAGGGGTGGGTTCTAAAATTTTTTTACTACCGGTTCTGTGGGCGTGGCTTGATAGTCATGTGACAATTATTTAGGATTTAGCAGAGGTCTACCAGGCTTTTAACTGCTTGCAGAGCGGTACCGATCTATCCATTTATTTTTTGCAGGCACTGATCTACTCATGTATTTTTGCAGGCACTGGTCTACTCATTTGTTTTCTTTTAACATTGATCAGCTGTAGGACGGCCCTTTGAAACCCCACAGCAAGAGTTTAAACAGTTTTTTCCCCTCTAGCCATCAGCTGGGACTCAGGAGGCAGCAATAGATTGGGGGTGGGGCCAAATAAAAGGTAAGAATAACACGGGGGGCGGGGGGACAGAACTGGTTCGGTGATGTCATATCGTCACCACTACCGGCTTGGGAGAACCGGGCTGAACCGGGAGGAACCCACCACTGGCTCCATACTTAGCATGTGATGTGAATTATTCTCCAATAACAGCCTGGCTCATTTCAGTAGTACTTAAACTGATGTTCCCAAAAATTTGGAAAGATGATAAAAGACATTCTACAGAAAAACTGCAGAAGCTTGGGTGCTTTTAAATGGATTTTAAATCCTTTTATACTATTGTTTATGAGTCTCTGTGGTGCAGTGGTTAGAATGCAGTATTGCAGGCTACTTCTACTGGCTGCTGGCTGCTTGCAATTTGACAGTTCAAATCCCACCAGGCTCAAGGTTGACTCAGCTTTCCCTCCTTCCGAAGTGGGTAAAATGAAGACCCAGACTGTTGGGGACAATATGGTGACTCTGTAAACTGATTAGAGAGGGCTGTAAAGCACTGTAAAGCGGTACAGAATAGAATAGAATTCTTTATTGGCCAAGTGTGATTGGACACACAAGGAATTTGTCTTGGTGCATACGCTCTCGGTGTACATAAAAGATACATTCGTCAAGAATCATAAGGTACAACACTTAATTATAGTCATAGGTTTGTATAAGTCTAAATGCTATTGCTATTGCTATTGTTTAAATGTATTATGCAGCTATTTTTATTTTTTATTTTTTTTGTTTTTTCTCCTTAGCAATTTCTTTTGCAGTACAAAAAAGATATGGAGAAAGATATGGACAAATACCAGAGAGTTGACACTGGATTCCCCTTAAATCAGCACAATAAGAGAATTCTTCAGAACAACTCTTTGTAATTACTAATTGTGCCGAAAGGTCTTTTGGGAATAGTTGTCAATTTATTACTGATAGAGATTTTTAAAACTTAAATTACATTTGTGTAATTTCTTCTTCAGTTGAAGATACCATATTTTCATGTGTGTTTTTTTTAATTTGAGGTATAGCACATGCTCATTCTAGCAAACTGTCAAGAAAAAGGAATTTTATACCTCCTATAAGTGTATTTTAAATTCTGGATGAATTTATAGATATTTAGTTTAAATAAAGGAAATCAGTTAAAGGCCAGTTTCCAGATCAGTGACTGAGAAAAGAGGTCATTTGATACATATTAATGTTAAACTAAGATAGGAAGGAAAGCAGGAAACAATAGAGTTTTGTTCCCTCTGCCTTTAATTGGTTCAATGAAAGAAATTTTATTATAAACCAAAGGTCATGGCCTAGAGATACTCAAAAATGAAGGGCAAAAGGAA